CCTCCCCCGTCTCGTGCTCTCTCTCTCACTTTCACTCTCCCTCTCTCAATTAAATACATAAAATCTTTTTAAAAAATCAATGCACAGGGTGCCTGGGTGGCTCAGTGGGTTAAGCCTCTGCCTTCAGCTCAGGTCATGGTCTCAGGGTCCTGGGATCAAGTCCCACATCGGGCTCTCTGCTCAGTGGGGAGCCTGCTTCCCGCCCGCCCCCCCCGCCTGCCTCTCTGCTTACTTGTGAGCTCCGTCTGTCAAACAAATAAATAAAATCTTAAAAAAAGAAGAAGAAGAAGATGTGGTATATATACACAATGGAATACTATACAGCCATCAAAAAATGAAATCTTGCCATTTACGATGACGTGAATGGAACTAGAGGGTATTATGCTGAGTGATATAAGTCAGTCAGAAAAAGACAATTTTTTTATCATAGGATTTCACTCATATGTGGAAGTTAAACAAAACAGGGTCATAGGGGAAGGGAGGGAAAAATAAACGATGAAATCAGAGAGGCAAACAAACCATAAGAGAGTCTAAATCATAGGAAACAAAACTGGGGCACCTGGGGGGCTCAGTCAGGGTTAAGCATCTGCCTTTGGCTTGGGTCATGGTCTCAGGGTCCTGGGGTCGAGCCCCACGGACACTGGGCTCCCTGCTCAGCGGGGAGCCTGCTCCCCCCCCCCCGGCGTCTGCCTCTCTGCCTACTTGTGATCTCTCTGTCAAATAAATAAATAAAAATAAATTAAAAAATAAAAAAGGGGGGGAACAAACTGAGGGTTGCTGGAGGGGAGGTGGGGCAGGGGCTGGGGTAACGGGGCTGGGCACCGGGAGAGCACACGATGGTCCCATCACACCTGTGGAGCTGAAGAAAGTGATCTCTGCCTCTGAAACCGTTAGCGCACTGCGTTAATTAAATGTAAATTTAAAAAATCGAGTTGCGCCCACTCACAGATGTTGTGATTACCACACAGTGAGGGGACCTCCATCACCGGACTGTGTTTTTCTCTGAAGACTGCCCCCTGCCCCCTCCCTTCCCAGGAAGGCATGCGCCGGAGGCCACCATTCTACCCGACTCTCCCAGTGACTTTAATGCACATCCTTAATGAAATCTAAAGTGAGTATCTTTTTCCTTAAGAACAATTAGAGCCCCAAGGATGCCTCAGCTTGTCTTCCCGCCCCGTGCGCCACTGCCACGTGACCACAGTTCTCTCCTGGGCCCCCACCAGCCCCATGGCCGCTGTCACTGCTGTGGCGCCTGCGGTTCCTGTCTGCGTGCGCCGAGTGATGCGCTTGGGTCAGCTTTAAAATATGTCCACAGATCGCCCGATTCTCCTTCCCTAAAAAGGGGGCGCCCGATTCCCCTCCTACGCCGCTCGAGGAGGGACTGGATTGAGGATGGCTTCTGACCATCAGAGGTGAGACAGAGGTGACCTTGTGACTCAGGGACCCCTGAGCCCAGGTCCTCCCAGGCGGGTGGCTCTCTCCCAGGGGCTGCTCCTGGGTCATCTGTGCCAGGGGAAGCGGACACAGTGCTGTGAGGACGTGGACATGAGGAACCCAGGTGCTCGGCCAACAGTGCTGTGAGCGCGCCTTGTTGGAAGCCGGCCCTTCCTGACGGTGGCCCCCACAGACACTTTGCCTGCGGCCCCAGGACTCGCCAGGCTGGACCACCCAGGGTGACCGCTCCCGAGCTCTGCACCCACGAGGAAACAGCCATTGCTTTACAGCACTGAGCCTCAAGTTAGGTCATCCCGCGGCGGTAGCGGACTCCTCCTTATTTAGGGCTCCTTCTTGACTTCGGCCTTTTTCCTGAATTCCTCCAGAATTTCCTTTCGTGAATTCCCGTGGGTGGCAAGCCCTCATTTTGGGGTGTGGGAGGAGGAAATGTTTTCCTTTATGGAGGCTTCATTCTTGAAAGCGTTCCTCTGGGTCGTGGCCGCCGCCTTCCTCTCCCACTGGCCTCCGACGAGCTCCCGGTAGGCAACTGCTTTCGTCCCCAGATTCTTTCATGATCTTGTGAGAGAAAAGGTGCATTTCTTCCTCCCCAGCCTGGCCAGCATTTGTTGGGATTTCTGGATCAGAGGACTGGGGTTTTTAGACAGTTCTGGAAAACCCAAAGCCACTTTCCGTCCCGCAGCGCCCCTTCTTCCTTGTCCTCTTCTGGGAAATGCAGGCAGGTGAGTGCCCTTGACCCTCTGGGCCCCATTCTTCACTTCCTAAGCGATCCTGGCTCATGGAGTCTCCAGCTGAAAATTTCCATCGGAGCCTTAGTCCACCTGAGTTTTTAATTTCCATGTCAATGTTACTTCTACGGGCTGTTTGCTTTTTCCTGCTTTATTGTTCATCTTTATCGACTCAAAGCTCATACTTTCACAGAATAACAAACTATGAAGGCGATTCCTTATTTATATTTCAAGAATCTCTTTTATTTCTTTCAACATATAAAAGTTATTGCATATTCTCTGATAATTCCAATATCTGAAATATTTATGGAATCTGTTCTTTCTGCTGGCTCTTGTGGTGGGTGCACTCCTGGTGTCTGTGGACAAGCTTCTTAACTTAAATGCTTGTTTTCCTTGGACTTGACCTACATGAAACCCCCGGGACAGCGATTCCCAATCAGGGACACCGTTTCTACCACTGCCCCCCTTGGGACATTTGGCAACACCTTGAGACATTTTAGTTGTCACGACTGAGGGTGTGGGTGCGGGTGGAACCCAGAGATGGCGTCAGCATCACAGCAAGACAGCACCCCCCACCCCGACTTAGCCCCAGATGTCACCAGTGCTTCCGCCAGCTGTCTGGGACCTGCCAGCCTGGGGCCACTTGGATTTCTTCCCTTGCGGTGTCCGGGCCCACAGGCGCCTGGCTTCAGACCGCCAGCAGAGAGGACCGCAGACGGAGCACCGAGGACAAGGGTGGAGGGGTCCACTGGCCGCCCGAGGGGCCCTCTCCGTGGAGGTTCTCCCAGTGAAAGACCGGTGGGGTGGGCGGCGTGAGGACGGCAGAGGGAACGCAGAAGCCCCAGGCGGGGCGGATGCCCCCCAGAGGCGGCCTCCTTCACTGTTACAGCCCCCTCCCATTGCTGGGTTCTGTCGTGGAGGGTTGGGTCGGCGTGAGCAGGGTGAGGTGGAGAGGGGGTGTTCTAGGAGACGGAACGACGTTTGCAAAGACCACAGGTGGGAGGCTGGCTGCCCGGCTGGGGGCCGGCTACTGGCCGGGCCTGGGCAGGACGGTGGAGGCTGAGCTTGGGGGCTGTCCTGAGTGACAGGGTCACGGGAGGGTTAAGAGCAGGGGGCGGGGATAGTGCTCAGGTTTGGAAATGTCACTGGTTGCATTTGGAGAACCTGTGAACGGATTCCTAGCGTGAGGGTGGGCTCAGGGTCTGGGCTGGTGTGGAGGGACTGGTCTTGGGACGGAAGGGGAAGAGCAGGTCCAAGAGCTCCTGGTGGGTGGGTCTCGGATGGCCAGCTGGGAGGATTTCTCCGGGACTGGCCCTTGCCCTGAATGTCCCAAAGGGTGCTGGGGGCCCTGTCTCACCTTGCAGGACCCCATTCCCTTCTTGGCTCCCCTCCCACAGAGCCTGCATGGGTCTAGGCCCGGGGGTCCTTGGGGCCCCAGAGGAGCCCACCCCACCCTCCAAGGAGGGCAGCTTGCATGCTGGACAATCCCCCCACCCTCTGTAAGCCCTGAGCACGGTGTGGGAAGCCCAGAGCTGGAGCTGGCAGGGGGCCGACAGCCGCTCTGCACCTGGGACCCCTCCTCCGCAGCCAGGACCTTCCTCGGCCGTGGGAGTCCACGTGCCTAAACTCCCTGGGTTTATGGGGTCTCTCCATACTCACCCCATGCCTGGGGCCCCCCACTGCACAACCCAACGGTGATGTCCTGTCCTCAGTGTGGGAGGTGAGTTCCTGTGGGGATGGTGGCCCAGGTCACAAGGCCCCTTCTGGGGTGGAGGCTCCCCTCTGGGGGGCCTGGTGTAGGGCTGGGGAGTTGTCCCTGACAAGGACCCTGCCTCGTCTCTTCCTGAGCCCTCTGGGTTTCCAAGTCTGATGCCAAGCTAGGGGTGGGAACAGGGAGGTCCCTACACCGGGGAACCTTGAGTCATGTGAGGTAGGCCCTGGCGGGGAACCTGGGGGGCTCACCTGGGAGGCCCATGCTGACATCTCTTGTGGGGACAGACCTCCCTGGGGGAGGGGCGCACCACAGCCGCCCCACTGACCATATCCCACCCTGGCCAGGGTGCCTGGTGGGCCCAAGGCCCGGAGAATGGGTCACGGGCTGCTCTGCGGGCTTGTGAGCACTAACCCAAGTTGTTTGAACGCCTGGGGTCTGTGAGAGGGAGCAGGCAGGCGGGCCTCGGCCCAGATGTGAACTCTGAGAGCTCACCCCCGGAGCTCGCCCAGGACCACACACCCCTTCCATCTGCTCCGGCCCCTCAGGGAGGGAAGATGCCCTTGGGCTCCTGGGCCCAATCTCCTGCTGGGCCCCGGGCAGAACACCTCGCAGGAGACCAGCGCTGGCCTTGGCCGTGGCTGGGCCGTTCCAGACGTTGTGCACGGGGCACCCTCTGCTGGCTGTGACCAGAAGTGCAGCCTAGTGGGACCAGCACCTTCCACTGGACACCCCAGGTCAGAGAGGCCCGGCCAGCTGTGACCACGGCAGGGGGCCCGCCCAGAGCTGCCTGAGATCCAGCACACACGAGGAGGCGTCCCCCGTGGTCCACTGACGGCGACCGCTGCAGCTTCAGGCTGTCAGCACAAGGCAGCCCCAGCCCGGTTCAGCCCCGGGCCAGGAGTGAGCCCGTGTCTGGGGCCGCGGAGAGCTCTCACGCACGGCCCACCCCCTGGCTCCACCGGGGGCTGCAGGGGAGCCCAGACGGTGAGAGGGGACGGAAACTGGGTCCAGGCCAGTCAGGCGGTCTTCAGCCCAGCGGGACTCAGAGGGGCCTGCACGTGCTAACCACCATGGCAGGCCGAGAGCGGGTCGCGGCCCACCGGCAGCTAGAGGAAGGTGGAGTCCAAGGGCCCAGCGTCCTGCTGGCTGAGCGCGCGCGCCTCGAACAGCTGCCTGATGAGCGCAGATTTCTCCTGCTCCAGCTGCGTGATCCGCTCACTCTTGTCCGTCACCTCCTGGGCAGGCAGGAGGTCGGTCAGGGTCCCGCAGGCCTCCGGTCCCACCCTCCGCCCTCCCCACACTCACCTGGGTGAGGAGCCGGTTCTGCTCCTTGAGCATGAGCTCGGTCTGCTGCTGCCGGCCCGGGGCTGAAGGTGAGTCGGGGGCCGGCCACGGGGGCCCCAAGGACAATGAGGGTGGAGCCTGCCGGAGGGCACGGTCAGGCAGGTCAAGCGGGCCGGGCATTCCCGGGCACAGCCTCCAGGGCAAGGGGGAGGGGTGGCAACACGCTGGGCACGGGCGCCGGGCGGCACAGGGGACACTCACCCGGCCGGCGCGGGCCGCAGCCAGCAGCTCCCCCAGGCACCGGGCCACCTCCTGTACCTTGGGCAGCAGCTGGCCCAGCGGGAGGGGGCTCCCCTCAGTGCCCACGTCCTGGGAGGGAAGCAGGAGAGGGGAAGTCAGCGAGCAGGACCAGCCACAGATCAGCCACCGCGCCCCGGGGGGGCCCTCACAGGGGCTGCTCCTGGCCCCCACCCGAGTGACCGCTCAGAGCAGACAGGGAGCCCACGGGTGTCACCGCTGGGGGACGCCTGCCCCAGGGCACGCGCAGCGTGTGTGTGTTGGAGGGGTCCTGGCACCACCCGTGCTCACGACAGGTCTCAGGACGGGGACGGGGCAGCCCTGGGGCAGCACTCACAGCACGGGCCCTGCTCTGGCCCAGGCGGCGCCGGCGCTCCCGCACACGCTGGAGCTGCTGCTGGTACCAGTCCCGGCCGCGCGCCATCATCTCCAGGCCCTGCAGCAGCACCTCCTTCTCCTGCTCCAGCTGCTGCATCTGCTTCAGCTGCCACATGCGGGGAGGCCACGGGCTCATGAGGAACCCCGGCCACGCATGGCAGACCAGCCCCACCAGCGCTGACCTGCCCGCACCTGCACCCCACAGGACACCACCTGCCCTCGGGCCCCCGCGCACCTTCTCCCAGGGAGCGGCGCGCACAGGGCCAGGGAGATGGGCGAGCCGGGCCGTTCTGGGGAGGGGCCGTGCCCGCTCTGCACGCCGCCGCACACCCAGGCCCCCTTCTCCCTGAAGGCCTTCTTCATCTGGCCTTGAGCCGTCCCTCCAGTGGATTCAAGACCGCGTGGGGAGACATGTTTGTAACCAACTGCCATGCCAGCCCCGCCGGAACCCAGGCTTGGTGGCTACCTCCCAGGAGGAGGGCTGGTCCAGGAGACCAAGCATGGGGGTCAAGTCCAATCCCAGGCAACACGGACAATCCCCCAGAGCCCTCACCCACCAGGTCACAGTCCACGCCGTTGGTGATGGTGTGCCTCCGACGCTCCCCTCGGGCACAGGGGACCCGAAGGGCATCGCCCAGGCCGAGCTCCCGGGGCCTGCAGGCCAGTGCACCTGTGGAGGGAGGCAAGACCCCGGCTCATTTCCAGGCCTGCCTAGTCAGGCCCAATGCCTCCACCCCAAGCCTAGCAGTGCAAAGCTGGGTGTCCAGGCCGACAGGCCTCTGGGCATGCTCGTGGGCAATTCGGGGCCTCTGCACAGAGTCCCCCATCTCAACCCATCCCTAGGCCACCGCCTAGCCCTGTACACACCTTGCCTCTGTGGGGTCCAGTTCCCCACTCAATCCCCACAAACTCCCCTCACCCCCATACTGGGAGGGCCGTGTGGCCCTTGAGGCTGCAGGTTTGTACACACAACACAGATGTGTGTGCCCACAGAGTGCCCCAGGACGAGTGCCCAGAGGGCAAGGGCTTCACCCAGTTTGGGCATCCCCCTGTGCCCAGAGTGCTTGTGTACCCTGCAGGGGCTCAAAGGCTGCGGGGAATAGGGTGAGAGAGCAGGGCCCCGGGCTTCCTGGCTCTCCTTGTCTGCCAGGGCCTTTGAGGGTGACTAGAGTCAGTGCAGGTGAAATGGGAGGGCCCAGACCTAACTCTTCCCAGAAAGGGTAAAACATGACCTTGGCCAGCATACACGTGCCGACACCTCACTTGGACATAACCTAGCAGCTCCTATGGCTTAGGGACCCCTGCAGCGGAGTCAGCTTGGGGGTGAGAGCCAGCAGGTCCAGCCGGCTTCCCTGGGGGATGGGAGCGTGTGCGGGACAACACCAGAGGGGAGGAGTAGATCCCTGGCCTTGTCCCCCTACACCGGGCTCAGCCTCACAGGCTATGTCCCCAGCACTGGCTAGGGGGAGTGGGGGGTGATGCAAGAAGCGGACACGTCCACCGGGTTGGCACCAGGTGACAGGGCAGGCCTCCAGGCAGCCTCGGCGGACAGGCTACAAGCAAGCCCAGAGATCACGTCCCAACCTGCCTGTGCTACATGGCAGGCAGAGAAGACACAGTGGAGGGGCACTGGGGTGGCGGGGGAACAGCCACAGAACGCCTGGGCTTGGTCTGGGAGCAACTTCCAGATGACAGCACCCTGGGTGTTCTGTTGGATGACCAGCAGGTGCAGGCAGCCCTGTCCCCATCTGGGCCTGAGCCAGCAGCCTGTACCACTGGGTCTGGGTGCACTGATTTCCAACAGGGCCAAAGAAGGGGGACCTGGATCCCCGGGGTGGGGGTCTCTCCCTTCCTGGGAAGCTGGGGGATCTTGGAGCTGCCAATTTGGACTCCACGCACATGCCACACCTCTGGTCTGGGCCTCTGTCTGTAAAGGGGACAGTGAGAGGCTGGCCTGAGCCTCAAGCTGCCCCATGATGAGCACGTGTCACCTGCCCAGCCCTGTGTCAAATCCTCAGAAAGGCGCAGCAGGTGACCTAGGGCCACCGAGGGCCCCAGGACAGAGCAGGGCTGAGCCACAGGTCAGAGGTCCCCAAATCCCAACCCCACGCTGATTTTCAGGTATGTGGAGCCTTGGGGACGGCTCCAGCCATGCACCCAGGAGTGCCCCCGCCTCCCCAGACCACGGGGACAGAGGGGCTGGCCAGTGAGGAGCAGGGAGAGCCCCCACCCTGTGACGGGCTGGGGGACAGCTTTGCCACAGAGCCTGGGAACCAGTCACGGGGCTGGGGAATATGGGCAAGGCTGGGGTGGAGGCCCAGTGAGGCTGGCAGGGCGGTGAAGGCATAGGAAGGGCTGGCAGTTGCAGTGGTGGGGGTGCTGCAAGCAGGCAGAATGCCCTGTGGGAAGGGGACCCCACCCCATCCATAAGGCAGCTGCTTATTCCCAGAGCAGACACTAGAGGGGCCCACAGGGGTCATCCAGCATCTCCTGTCACTGCCCACTGCACAGAAGCCAGGCAAGGACCCGGCTGGTCACCCCCTCGGGTAGGGGCAGGGAGTGGTTTGCTGCGTTTGGGTCTTTCTCTGGTGTCAGCCCGGTAGGCCTTGAAGATTGGGCTGGAGACCCACCCACCACGTCACTCCTCCTGGCAACCCCACCAGGTCTTCCTGGGACCCGTCCATCCTGCCTCGGTGGGGGGAGGCAGTGGGCCCAGCCCTCTTGGTAGAGCTGCCAAACTAAGGACCCAAGAAAGGCGGAAGGGGGCCCTCTCAGTCCGGGGGCCCCTCTCTCCTCTGAACTAGAGGGAAACTCCTCGGCCTAGGCTGTTATCCGAGTCGCGACTGAGGGCCTTAGTGTCCCCAGGTGTGGGGCGGGAATCCCCAGTGCTCAGCTCAGGCTGGGTAGGGCGACTTCCTGGGGGAGTCTGGGGTCACCCCCCAGCCCCTTGGCCCCGGTGGCCTCCCCCACGGTGGCGGAGGAGGGGCTCCCTGCCTCCTGGCCCCGCAGCACACCGGGAAAGGCAAGAGGGCCCCTTCTCTCTGGGCGTTCACGGCCCTCGGGCTCACTCGGCGGCCCGCCCCCGCCCCCCGCGGCGCGAGAGGCACCGGCAGCACCTCTCCGGCTCCGGCCTGAGGCGCAGGTCGCGGGGGTCGGCGGCGGGGTGGGGGGGCGGAGGGCCGCTACCAGGCGGGGCCGCGGGCAGCCCCGCACTCACCAGCGTCCGCGCTCGGGCTCCGCTCCAGCGCCGCGCCCTGGGGCCGCTCGGGCTCCGCGGGACCGGGCGCCGCCTCCGCGGGCCCGCACAGCTTCTCCAGGCTCCGGGCCGCGCCGCCGGGGCCGGCCGGCGGGGGCCGCGAGCCCGGGGGTAGGGGCTTCCTCTCCAGGACCGTCCGCGGCTCGTCCGCGGGCGCGAACATCAGGCGCGGCGGCGGCGGCGGACCCCCGGGCCGCGCCGGGCAGCCCCCCTGGGCCGGGGCGCGCCCCTGGCCCCGCGGGCCGCCGTCGGCGCTCAGCAGCGAGGTGCGCAGGCCGGCCACGAAGCGCTCGAAGGTCAGGTAGCCGCTGGCCGGGGCCACCCGGCGCAGGCCCTCCAGCACGCCGCGGGGCAGCTCGTGCTCGTCGGCGCCCTGCCAGCGGGACTCGATCTCGCGCAGGTGCACGCAGCCGCGCCGCCGGTCGTCCAGGATGTCGAACAGGGTGCGCAGGCTCTGCAGGAAGGCGCGCGGCAGCCCCTCGGTGCCCGGCGCGGCCGGCGGTCCGCGGCCCGGCTCGGCCATCGCGGCTCCGGCCGTGGGCGGCCACCGCCGGCTGCGGCCCCCCTGCGCCCGCGCCCGCGGCCCCGGCTCGGTCCCCGCGCGGCCCGCCGCGACAATAGCTGCGACTTTTTGAATGGACCCTCCTCGTGGCGTCAGCGCTCATTAGCATTCGCGGCGGCCATTGGCCGAAGCAGGCCCGTCTGCTCTCGGATTGGCTGAGAGGCCGCCAGCCTGGTTTGATTTTCCGCCGCGGGCCCCGCCCTGCGCGCTCCCGCCGCCGTGCTGGCTGCGGCTGGGGAGCGCGGAGGCCCGGCACCGGCGGGCGCTGGGGGAAGCGGGGTCCCGCAGCTCGGCCTCCCTTCGGCCTCGCGGGTCGGTGAGGGAGCCCCGAGCGGACCCCTTTCTGCTCCCCCTGCCATCCGCAGCCCTCTCGCCGCGGTACGGCCCTCTCCGAGGGGCGGGGCCTACGGAAAACCTGTCCCCAGTGTCCTCGCGGGGATAAGGACGGGAAGCACACTCCAGGGAGTCCCCTTCCCCGTCTGGCTTCCCTGGGGACTCTTCGCCCCCTACTCGGGGTCTCCTGGCCCAGGCACCCCGACTCTGGGGCCCATTTACCGGGACAGTCCCAAGAGGTCTGTGGGCTCCCGCCAGCTGGGCGCTTCCCCTCACAGAGGCCTCTCTGTCCAGGCTGCTGCTAGCTCCTCGCCTTGTCCCTGGGGATAGCTTGGCCTTTCCTGCCTACTGCAGGACAAAGCCACTTTTAACTGTGTCCCCAGATCCCCATCTGGCGACCAGCTTTCCTCCGCTTCCAAAGCCCTCTGCTCCAGCCTCTTCCTCTGGCTGGACACTTTCTCCAGCGGCTCCAAATCTCACGGCCTATTCAGGCCAGCCAGGCAGCCCTGTGTCCCCAGTGGCCCCTGCTTCATTTCCAGCCAGGATCCAGTCCTTCAGTCTGGGAGGGGGCTGGAGCTTAGCTGGCAGTGTCTTCAAGAAGAGAACTTCCTCCTGTTAGGGTAGTAAATTGAATTTTTTCCTGCCCAGGAATTCGAGGTCAGCGGGGCCAGGTGCTCTGTTCATGAGAGCTCCTCCCATCGGGGCTTCCTGACTCCATTCTAAACGAGGCTTCCCTTTATTAATTTCACAGCCCTCAAAGTTGGGGCTCCATTGTGGTAAGGAATTTTGAAAGGACCTAGAAAGCTGGAGCCTGGGGTTCCCCATGGAGCCCGATCCACCCCTGCCTTCCCCTTTAGTGACAGGACTGGACAAAGTTCCAGCATTTCAAGCTGTTTGTCCTGCCGTTTGTCTCCCCTTCCTACTCTCCTTCCAGCACAGCCTGCCCGGGTCCACCATGCTTAGGCTCCGCAGCCGCCCCTCACCTCTGGGCCCTTGCACACGGTAGCTGTCCCACCGGGAACACCTTTCCCTCTCTGCTCCGGGCTGATCACTCTGCATCCTTTGAAGCTCCACTCAGGCACCTGACCCACACCTTGAAAGTGATGTGTCCTGATCTTCACAGCATGAGTCTGCCTTCTTCTCGTGATGGTGCTTCTCTCCCCATGTGTCCCTCCCTATGCTTTCTGGAAGTAGGACAGGGCCACCCCACAGCCTAGAATCGGTCTGGCCCACAGTGGAGGCTTGGTGGGTAGCCCACACATGGGAAGCCTCATCCTGGAAGTCACAGTGGAAACGCCCCCCCTTAGGTGGGATGGGGAGGCCTGGAGACAGCTCTGTGGGGGTTCGTGGGGGTGTGGAGGCCAGTGGCCAGCAGCAGCAAGCCTTGCTGCTACAGACAGCAGGACAGTGGGGCAGCAACACCCAGGCCAGGCCCCTGTGAGCCTGAGCCCACCGTGCTGAAAAAAGAAGGTCTTCTCCGAGCGTCAGGAGCCATGGCAGAGGAGGCCCTGGGTCTGTGGGTGTCTTGATGGGCTTCCCTGGCTAGGCACTGCTAGAAGGTACGAAGACACTGGAGTCAGTGCCAGCTGTGGGGTGGGACTAAGGCATGGTCCCTGTGTACTTCCCGTCCTGCATTCTGACCACTTCCTCCTTCTACCCCACCTTCCAGCCTGACCCAACACTTTCCTAGCTCCTCACCTTTCAGTGTCGCTGTCACCCCCAGGGTCTTCCCAGACCCCCAGACCAAGTGGGGCCCTTGTGGTTTTTGAGGTGCCATTCCCAGCTGTAATTACATTCTTACCATGCCAGCTTGGAGCTCCGTGGAGGTGGACAGTGGGACCCTCTGTCCCCAACCTTACACAGTCCCTGTGCCTGTTCCAGGTTCTCTGGTCCCCACACTGCAGGAACAACTGGGGGGCCGTGCTGGCCTCTGGACCCTGGATCACCTGAACCCTCTGGATGAAGCCCCAGGGCACAAGGAAGGTGATTCCTGGGCCACAAGCCTGCCTTTGCCAGGCTGTCCAGGAGCTTGTTACTCACCTCTCCCTCACTGGCGGCCCCTGCCATCTGTCCAGGTGGGCCAGCTCTCCTTCTCTGGCCCTTCAGGTGCCTCAGGCTGCCCAGGCTCAGCTGTCCGAATCCTTCTGATCTCAGCCCCACACCGCATCTTGAAGCGAGATTTGGGGGCCACTCTGAGGATGAGCTTTGAGATCATGTGACACCTGCCTTCAAGGGTACATATGCGGGGCTGAGAGCCCTCTGAACTCTAGCCCCCACTCTGCTGCTGGGCTCCCTACCCCCCACGTGCACCTCCACCTCTAACATGTGCCCTTCGGCTACCCAAACTATTGAAGCAGACCGTTCGTTCATTCAGCAAGCACTCCCTGAACGCTTGATGTAGCGCAGGCACTGAGCTGGGTGTGGGATCCAACACTCGTTCATTCATTCCACAAACATTTACTGAGCACATACTGTGTGCTGGGCATTGATCTAAGGTGAAGGGGCAGAGCAGTGAACCAAATTACCTCCAGCTGTCATGGAGTTTCCCTTCCTTGGGGCACTTGGGCAGTGGAGAACACAGAAAAGCAGGAAGGAACAGAGACGAATGGGAGGGTGCTCTCTGAGCCAACGTGACCTGGGAGGGTCTCCCCAAGGAGGCAACACATGAGTAGAGACCTGGAGAAGTGGGCCAGGAAGTCACTTTCTGGGAAAGAGTAGCCCAAGCAGGAGGAACAGCAAGTGCAAAGGCCCAGAGGCAGGCCTAAGGTTATCCTTGGAAGATAACTTCTTTTGGGTCCACCAGGACTTAGAGTGGGCCCCCCCCCCCCCCCCGGTGCTATGGGAAGCTCTACTTCCTAACCCAGGAAGGGGGTTTGTGGGAGTCCCTTTGTGCAGAACCCACGTGCAGGGAGACACAGTTGCCTGAACAGGGGTTAGCTGCGGCAGGCCTAAGAGAGATGTTACTCTTCGTTTCGGGTGCCATTTGAATTTGTTTTAACCCTGTGCATGTATTGCTTTTAGACCTAAAAAAAAACTAATTTTCTAGAAGAAAGCTTTATCCCAAAATGGCCAAAGCTACTCACCATTTTCCCCAAGGACGTTTATAAACAGCAAGATATTATATCAATTGATCAATACATTTTTTAATAAACAGCATGGTATTTAAAGTCTGATAGTTAACATAATATGGCGGGGCGAAGGGCTGCTCCTGAGCCGTTCCGGTTACCTGGCAATGAGGAGGGATGTGAAGGAGGGAGCCCCAAGGAGGCAGGGCGGCCTTCTTGGGGGTCCTTGGTGGCATCTAGACACCCGACTCTACCGATGATCTGGCTCGGCCCAGCCGCCAGCAGTCGTGGTCAAGGCAAACATGGCCACGTGCAGGGACAGACCCCAGCCTCGCCCTCAGGTGCCCGGACGTCAGGGCTGGGGGTTCAGAGGGGGATGCATTAGAGCCGAAGTCAGTCCTCGCGCGCCCGCGCCAGGGAGCTTGCGGATCTCGGGAGGGGGCTTCCCGACTCGGGGCGCCCCGGGGCCCTACGCCTCAGGCGTCCCTAGCGCCCTGCCTGACCGCCCCTCCTCAGGCTGCCGCGGGCGAGACCCCGGACGAGCGGATAGGGGCGGGGTCACAGCCGGAGAGGGGCGGGGCGCTCTGGAAGGGGGCGGGGCCCGGCAGCGGGCGCTCGGGGGCGGGGTCGCGGCGGGGCGGCCCGGTCCCGCCCCTCCGGGGTTGTCACCGCCCGCTGGGTCCCGTGACGCCCGTCGGAGCGCGCTGGTCACGAGTGCCCTCGCGGCCAGTGGCGGCGACATGGCCTCGGAGCGGGAGGTGCGCGCCCGGCTGCAGCGCGCGGGCCAGGAACACCTGCTGCGCTTCTGCGCCGAGCTGCCACCGGGGCCCCGTGCCGCGCTCCTGGCCGAGCTCGGGGCGCTGGAGCCGGAGGCGCTGCGCGAGCACTGCCGGCGCGCCGCTGCGGCCTGCGCGCACCCCCCGGGGCCGCCGCCCGACCTGGCCGCGCGCCTGCGGCCCCTGCCCCCCGAGTGCGTGGGCAGCGCGAGCCGGTGCGACCCGGAGATGCGGCGACTCTGGGAGGAGGAAGGTAAGCGGGGAGGGCCTGGCCGGCGGAGGGGGCCTGGCCCAGAGCGGGGCTGACCGGAGAGGTTGTACTTGGAGGAGTCGAGCACACCTTACTCCTTTGTGGAGTCCCCTTTCACTCGCAGCTGGCGACGGGGCTGTGGGGCTCCAAACGCGGCCAGGGTGGCAGCCGGCCCCAGAGGACTGGCCCTCGGGAGAGTGCTTCCTGCAGGCGCACCTGTCTAGCCAGCCGCCCAGCCCACAGGCGAATTGGTCGCAGGGAACCCTCGCGCAGTTGCACACGCTCCCTTTCGCATCAGCGCTGGCCCAGGTGCACTCCTGGCCTCCTGGCCTGACAGGTGAGGCAGGCGCTCCTGGAGGGAAGCCTGCCCGAGGCCCCCGCTGCACTGCTCTGACCAGCCTGACCTGGTGTTGCCTCTGAAGGACCTAGGCTGGGAATGAACCCTGGAGCAAATCATCGAGACCCCTGGTGGGTCCAGGACAAGGTGGGGCCCCACCTGGCCCACAGGGGATCAAAATGTTACTTGGGAATTTCTCCTCTGTGGCTGTCAGAAGTCTTTGAGTCCTAGACACATGTGTGGCTTGCTCTGAGGTGAATGGGGGGCTTATGTGGCAGGTCCCAGGTGTCCCCTCATGGTAGGCACCCCGCACCTCCAGGTTTCCGCCAGATCTCCCTGAACAAGGTGGCCGTACTGCTGCTGGCCGGGGGGCAGGGCACTCGCCTGGGCGTGACCTACCCCAAAGGCATGTACCAGGTGGGGCTGCCGAGCCGGAAGACCCTGTATCAGCTGCAGGCAGAAAGGATTCGGCGGGTGGAGCAGCTTGCTGGCCAGCGCCACGGGACCCGATGCAACGTTCCCTGGTGCGCCTTCTCTGCGGTACCTGGTCCCGAGAACAGTCCTCTGCCCCCGCAGCATCCAGACTTGAACCCCAACCCGGACCCCGGGCATGCCCCTGTCGGAGCCCCGTATCCCAGAGGCCCTGGGCCCTTCCAGTGGCCTGCTCAGCCTCGCCTCTCCTTGAAGGTACATCATGACCAGTGAGTTCACACTGGGGCCCACGGCCAAGTTCTTCAGGGAGCATGACTTCTTCCACCTGGATCCCAGCAACGTGATCATGTTTGAGCAGCACATGCTGCCTGCAGTGACCTTCGATGGCAAGGCCATCCTGGAGCAGAAAGACAAAGTTGCCATGGCCCCAGGTATGCCACACCCCTGAGCCCAGGAAGGACCGCCTGGCCTAGAACAAGGAGCGAATTAGAGGTCGGGAGGACTGTGGCAGAGGCCAGAATGTTATGCCTGATGGCTGTGTGGTCCCGGGTGAATGGCCTCTCCTCTCTGGGCCTTGGTTCCCATCTGTCACATGAAACAACCAGAGTGCTACTTGGAGAGTGAGGGAGAGCTGCCTCGGGTACAAGGTCCAGCCCCAAGGGGCCTCCCCTGCTTCCAGCATGCCCTGGACTAGATAAGGCTGAAGCCCAAGGGGATCCCTCGAAAATGGTCCCTCTCTCCCTCTGCAGACGGCAACGGGGGGCTGTACTGTGCCCTGTCAGACCACCAGATTCTCGAGGACATGGAGCGTCGGGGAGTGGAGTTCGTGCACGTGTACTGTGTGGACAACATCCTCGTGCGGCTGGCTGACCCCGTCTTCATCGGCTTTTGCGTGCTTCGCGGCGCAGACTGCGGGGCGAAGGTGAGCCCTCCCTGCCGGCCTGGCCCCGCCCCCTCAAGCCCGCCCCGCCCCCGGCCTGCTTGGCCCCGCCCCAACCAGCCTTCCCAGCCCTGGCCTGGCCGCAGGTGGTGGAAAAGGCGTCCCCAGAGGAGCCGGTGGGTGTGGTGTGCCAGGTGGACGGGGTCCCTCAGGTGGTGGAGTACAGCGAGATCAGCCCCGAGACTGCGCAGCTGCGCGGGTCCGACGGGAGTCTGCTCTACGGCCTGGGCAACATCTGCAACCACTTCTTCACGCGAGACTTCCTCCGGATGGTCTGCAGGTGTGCTCCGCAGGTGGCCGCCGGTGCTGGCCAGAGTGGTCTGAGGCCCACACTGACCGGGGCCCCGGAGCCCCAGCGGGCGCTGTAAGGCTCTGGGCCGAGTTGGCCTGCTCTTCGTGCGGAGGCCGTTGCCTTCAGGCACCACCTCTTACCCTGTGGCTTGCCCCCTGCCATGTCATCTGGGCAGGGACGTGGCCATTGGGGCCTGTCTCTCCCTCTTGGATTTGGTGGGGTGAGGTTGGGGGGAGTGGGGGCGAGTTGAAGAGATACCCACGCCCTCCCAGAGATCGGGCTCAGCACCCAGCGCTCCTGCCAGCTGTCTTGGGTGGCTGGGTGTGCGGAGAGGTGGGGATGGGGCTCCCTGGGACATACCATCTGAACTGTCTTTCCTTCTGTTGTCCTCCTGTGCCCCCAGTGAGTTTGAGCCCTTGCTGAAGCCACACGTGGCTGTGAAGAAGGTCCCGTACGTGGATGAGGAGGGAAATCCGGTAAAGCCGATAAAACCAAACGGGATAAAGATGGAGAAGTTTGTGTTTGATGTGTTCCGGTTTGCTAAGTTAGTGGTAGAAATCATTCGTTTTTTTTCTTTTTTTCTCTTTCTGTATCGGTGGTGGGTTCTGAGGCCTTGTTGGGCTGGGAAGTGGAGGCTTGCGGGGGATGCAGTGGGAGTGCCCCTTTGCACTGGGGAGTAGGGGCCAAAGCAGGCCCAGGGAGAAGGCCAGAGGAAACAGCCCCTGTGGTGTGAGCCTGGCAGCGTCTGGGATGGCCACGGTCTTCAGGGCCGTGAGACCCTCTGCCCCTCCTGAGCCCTCTGGCTGCTGCTGGCCTGGAGTGAGGAGGCTGTTTCCGGGCCAGCTGGCTGTGGGACATCGGGGGCTTGGCCCTCACCCTGGGGTCTGAGGATCTGGGGGTTTGGCTGGAGGGGATGGAAGGACTTCATGCAGCCCCAGGGAAATCAGGAGCAAAGACACATGCGGTCCCTGCGGGCCCCCCCATGGAGGTGACCCCCACTTAGTCATCGGAACCTGGTGCAGCTTGCACCTGCCCAGGACCAAGGCCTCCGGGCCAGGACTCCAGTCACTAGTTCTTTCCCCCACAGGAGCTTTGTGGCCTTTGAGGTGTCCCGGGAGGAGGAGTTCTCTCCGCTGAAGAACGCAGCCTCAGCTGCCAGGGACAACCCCATCACCACCCGGCGCGCCCTGCTCAGGCAGCATTACCGCTGGGCCCTGCAAGCAGGGGCCTGCTTCCTGGATGCTGGTGGGGCCCGGCTCCCGGAACTGCCCAGGTGAGTGTGGGTCTCAGCACACTCCCCTAAGGACAAGGGTGTCAGGGTCCACCCCCAGCCCCAGGGCCTTGCTGGTTCTGCCACGGCTTGAGTGGTCTGAGGCCCACACTGACCGGGGCCCCGGAGCCCCAGCGGGCGCTGTAAGGCTCTGGGCCGAGTTGGCCTGCTCTTCGTGTGGAGGCCGTTGCCTTCAGGCACCACCTCTTACCCTGTGGCTTGCCCCCTGCCATGTCATCTGGGCAGGGACGTGGCCATTGGGGCCTGTCCGGCCATACAGAGACCACCTGCAGCCTGGGGCTCGAGCTCGCACCACGCTGAGTGCAGGTGGCCAGGGGCCCTGTCCGGCCATACAGAGACCACCTGCAGCCTGGGGCCCAGCCCCTTGAGGTCAGCCCAGGGCCTGGGGACGGGTGGGCGGCTGCCACCCTTCCTGACCAAGACCGAGGCGTGACATGTGGAAGCTGGCAAGGCAAGTCACCGTTCAGGGCCAGCAAAGCACAGGACAGTAGGGTTCTGTGTCCTTGGTTGTCCGCAGCCACCTCCTCCATCTGGAGGCCCAGGTGCTGTGGGCTGTTTTCCCAACCAAGTAAGAGCCTATCACTTGGGCAGAGGCAGTCTGCTGAGGGCTCTGAGTGTGCAGAAAAAGGGGGTTTAGCTGAGAAAAGAGCTTTGGGAGCGGGGTCAGGCAAGGACAGCCCCAGGACATGCGCCCAAGAGCAGATGCTGATGCACGGACTCCCACAGCCTCCCCAGCAACAGAGAGCCGCCCGCCATCTGTGAGATCTCGCCCTTGGTGTCCTATTCCGGAGAGGTGAGAGCCTACCGGCCCACATGGGCTTTCTGGGGTGGGCCATGTGTGATCCGGAGGGGGGCACTGGGGAGAAGTGGGTGCTAGGGCAGAAAGAGCTCTGACTCGGTTTACTGATGAGGAAATAGTTTTTATTTATTTATTTATTAAGATTTTATTTGACAAAAACAGATCACAAGTAGGCAGAGAGGCAAGCAGAGAGAGAGGGGGAAGCAGATTTCCTGCCGAGCAGAGAGCCCAATGCGGGGCTTGATCCCAGGACCCTGAGATCATGACCTGAGCTGAAGGCAGAGGCTTTACCCACTGAGCCACCCAGGTGCCCACCCTTTTAATGCTTTTATTTATTTATTCCACAGAGAGACAGCGAGAAAGGGAACACAAGCAGGGGGAGAGGGAGAAGCAGGCTTCCCTACGAGTAGGGAGCTCGACGCAGGGCTCAGTCCCAGGACCCAGGGATCATGACCTGAGCCGAAGGCAGTTGCTTAACGACTGAGCCACCTAGGTGCCCCGGGAAATAGTTTCTTAAGATACAGAGGATCTTCCGGGAATGGGGTGGGTGTCGAGTTAAGATGCTTTCATAATCTTGGAGGAGCAGGAGGGTATCAGGTGGGGTCAGAGTTTGGGGTTCCAGCCAGGAAGATTTTATGGACGCCTTGCTGAGTGAGGAAAGCTGGCCCCAACCCTCTTGAGAAGATCTGGTCTGAGCTTGCCCAAAGGATTCATCAGGGGTTCGGCTAGAAATGGCATCCAATCCTTGCTCCTGGAAGCCTTTCCCACCCTACCCCACACTGGCTCAAGGTGAATTTGTAAGCCCCTTAAGGACAGAGAGCTGAATAGTGGACATCATGACTTCCTCATTTCCAGGGTCTGGAGCCGTACCTGCAAGGCCGGGAGTGCCGGTCCCCACTCATCCTGGATGAAAACCAGGCCAGTGCCCTGCAGCTCTGACTCACTCCCAGGACTGCAAACCCCAGGCCCTGAGAGGTGGGGACACAGGGATCTCCGCCAGGGTGGGGCCGCTCCCATCCTTGGTTCCGTAGAACACATACCCAAAAGCTGCTGTGGACCGAGGAGGGCTCTTTAGCAGTTCTCCGGCCTGGGGGGTCTGGGTGGGAGACAGAGGTGTGGCATCCCTGGAGAGAGCAGTGACCCTGTGTCTGTTTGAGTGGAGACTGGAGGACCAGTGGCACCTATAGCCCTACATGCAGAACCACCTCCCAAGGCACAACAGACACTCCAACTTTTCTGCAGATGCACATACGAGGCAAAAAGAGAATGGGACAGTGTCCCTCCGTCCCACCTCCCAGGGCGCTGCGGCCAAGGAGCTGCCCCCTCCGTCCTCCTCTAGCAGCTGAACCGTGTCAGGGCCCAGCCCCCACCTTCCCACCAGCCCCAACCCACACACAGCCGGCACACCTAAAGCTGGGTCCTCAGTTT